CAGGGATTAATAAACCACTGCTCTGTTATCATATTACTTCATTTACTTAATACAAAAAAATAGAAAATGTTTTTGTGCATTTCGGTAAATTATTTTTCAAATTACAGTGGCAACAATTCACAAATCATCAAGAAAGTAGAGCAAAAAAAACAAGCAAAAAAATATAAATGTTATTTTAAATCACTCGCCTCATTTCTGTCTTTTCTGTATCTCCTTTTAAAAGGTTTATAAATAAATTAAAAGACAATCAAATAAATATAAATAAAAAGAAAAATGTAAAAGGAAGTGAGTGAGAAGAGATGGCCTAATAAGTCACATTAGTTAGAGTTTAATCTAGTTTTGAGTTCAGGGAAGTTTTTTTTTTTTTTCTTCTCTGTAATATTATCTTCCTGTACAGTGCGAGAGAGATCCAGACCTGGGCACTGACCCACAAAATTAAATTTTACACTGCGGCGCTCTGATAGAAGTCAGAGCAAGAGGAAAAGTCCAAGAAAGAGAGAGAGACAGACTTGTGAAGTGGTGAGAGGAATATAAAATGAACCGGTGGAAAGAGTATATAACAAACTATTAATTAATTTTGGGAGACAGATTGTATCAGTGAGACGCAACCATATGGATAATTAAACTCTCGGATATTCATAAATAGCTAAAATAATAATTTTCTAGATCAGAGGTGTCAAACGCTGAGCTAACAGGATGATTTAAGCAAGCAAACTAAGCAGAAAATTAAATGATTATTATTTCATGTCATTATAAATTGATTGAGTAAACCTGAGTTAATATTTAATGTTAATAAACATCAACGTCAAACTCTACAGAGTCTACAGGATGACTTAAAGAAAAAGAAATCTAAATAAGTCAATTAAAACACATAAATCCTGAAAAATGCATAATAATTTATCATCATAATTTAATATTTGATCATAATTAAGACTGTCAAGAGTAGAGTCCAAAGGATGATTTAAGAAAATAAATTATAAAAATAAATTATTAAAAAAGTCATTGTTAAACATAAAAAAATCAAATTTAGATTAGTATGTAAAAAAATAATGCATTTCACTTATTTATTGTTCTTTATTGTTCGTTGTATTATTGCAATGTGATGTCTGTCTTGTTAATGGGATTTCATGCAAGCTTGTAATTCTCAGCATTTTTAATTTGTTATTGTATTTCTTGTAGTGTTTTGAGTTTAAGAACAGCGCATCATAAATAAAACTTATTATTAGTATTATTAAACTTAGATATATACAGTATACATAAATAAAACAAAGTGTTCTAGACTAGAGGTGTCAAATACACAGCCGATAGGATAATTTAAGTGGGTAAAAGGTGGAGAAAATGCCATGTTTATTTGTTAATGATATATTGATAATCTTGAGTAGAACAACTATTAAATATTTATGATTAGTGGTTTGTTCCTCTAATTAAAAATCCCTGTTAAAGCCGCTGTCAAAAATGACAAATAAAAGTTTATATAACTGACCTGATATATTGTAATAATTCTGAGGTTGCACAACAAAGGTTTTCAAAACAAAACAAAATTAAATTAAATTAAATTAAGAAAAAAAATAAAAATACAATAAAAATACAATCAAATCAAATAAAAAAAATCTAAACTTAATAAAAAAGAAAAGAAAAGAAAAAGAAAAGTAAAAAAGAAAAAAGAAAAAAGAAAAAATAAAGAAAAGAAAAGAAAAGAAAAAGAAAAACGCAAATGAAATAAAATAAACAAAATGAAAACAATAAAATCAAATAAAATCAAAACAAAAATAAAATACCATAAAATAAAATAAAGTAAAAATAAAAATAAAATAACATAAAATCAAAATAAATAAATAAAATATTATAAAAAATTAATTAAATAAAATAACAAATAAAAAATTAAATTAAATTAAATACAAATTAACAACATTGTGTTGATCAAAAAAATAATAATAAAAAATCTTAATAAACTGAACAACAAAACATCTTTATCTATCATTATAATTCACTTCATAGAAAAAGTTTCATCCTTATCAGTGGTTTGTTCAAATTAAAAATCATTATTAAATCTACTGTCAAACAGTGATTTGGTGGAATAAAAAATAAATAATTTATATTGTTAGCTAATACTTTTTATCTTCTTTAGTCTTTAATATTTAGGATTATTAGCTAAAAAAAACTCAGTAATGACCACTTAAAAGAGGTCGATTCAATACTGGACACTCACCAAGCCACGTGTTCATCTTCTTTGAGCTGCAGTGCTCGAGAAGCGGCTGAATCAACACATCCAGATCTTCTTTAGGAGCCTCTTTAGTGAACTGCTGCTTCCAGCGAGAAAAAAAAAACAAGAGAGAGAGCGAGGAGAGCACTTTAAAGGACAGAGATTGAGGTCAATGCAGCGCTACAATCCTTCACCATTAACACCTACTTCGTTGAGCTTGCTCGGCAGAAATTTGCCAAGGCACCTCAGAGGAAGGGCATCATAAAAATCACAGTAACAAGAAGAAGAATAAAAATAATAAAAATAATAAAGTGTCACCGACCTCCACGGTTATGTGCAGCGGGTCCATGATCTGCCAGATAAGCAGAGAGAGAACATCAATAGCCAGCAGAACGGCGACGGTGGCGTACAGCTTCCACGGCTCCAAGTGCTGCGAACAACATAACAACGACGTAATTATTAGTTTGTGTTACATGGACACAAAACATCGAGACCATAACAAGCAGAAATAGCTGTTCATGCACAGCAGCTTTCAACACTGTATAGTAGCATTTATATTGGAGAAAGAAGAAAATCTATTATGTGTATGTGTTGTTCTTTATGTAATGGATTGTTTATTCTAAAAACTAAATTTAATTGACTTGTCGATTCTCAGGCAGTCCAATTTTTTTCACAAGGACATTAAAGTCCACATAAAACATAAGAGCGACTATTTTTTTTTATTTGCATATTATGGAGCAGTTCCAAAAGAAACGTAATATTAAATGAGAACAGTGGGTGTGGCTTGTGTACTACCGGAATCTAATTGGATGTAGTGAAGTAGGCATTTCATTAAGAAAGATCTGGAAGAGGGTTTCAAGAGAGATATTACAACCTAACAGACACCTCATCTTCATCATTTCTGTTTGTTGTCAAAGCAAACAACTGAAGGGGCGTGGTTAAGTATGTTAACCACGCCCAATAGCTCAGACAGACGTTGTCAGTGTTCTGCCACTCTGTTCTTGTAAATTCTTGTTTTGGTGGCAGAGTCCGGACACTAGCTCTGTCTTGTCCTGTCCTGTTGTGCTTGGCTCAAGTTTTCTTGAGTCGAGCACTCATTTTTTGTCATTGTGTGTGTCTCTGGTGCTGTCGTGAGCACGCGCAGATCGTGCGCGCTCCCGCTTCTGAGTGTGCTTGGGACGCGCTCTTGTGCTCCATTTGTGTTTTGTTCTGTCGGCATTGCGCTGTTTCATCCTCAGCATCTCAGTCTGTTTGGTTTTGGTTCCGGTTGGGGCTGAGATGAAACATGCACGTTGCATATGTGTGAGCGCACGGTAAGGTGTTTTAATTTATTGTGTGCTCGTGTATTGCCTCTGTTTATGTTGTAGCGTCTGTTTATGTGTCAGTGCTTTAGTCTTGTTGATTAATGTAAACGCGCGGTTAATGAGTTCTTTCATTGACTGCGTGTTCTTGTCCCGTTTTATGTGAGCACATCGCTTGTGGTGTTCTTGTGTCATGTGCTCTCCCGTCTAATGTCTAGTCCCACCCTCCTTGTTAACCCATTATTAGTTTATCATGTTCACCTGTTTGTTTGTTGATTATTTCTGCTTATATTCTCCTCATGCCTGCTGTCCTGTGCCAGTTCATCATCGTTTATAGCCCTGTCCTGTTTCCAGTTCTGATCCCTGCCAGCCTGCCCAGTCAAGTTTGTTTGTTTATTCGTTTTGTTTTATTAATGTCCGAGGCTCCTGATAAAGACCTATCTTTTTATTAAAGCATACACTTAATGCATCACATAGCGGTATGATGCATGAATGTGCTCCACGCAGGGTTTTTTTTTTGCATCTCGTTTATAAACAATATGAAGAGCAGCTATGCTAATTATTTTCTTTATTCTCTATTTCCACCTGGGGATACTCATCCCAAGGCCCCCAGAGACTATGCAGTGCCACCAATGTGATCCAAGACCAGCAACAAGATGATCCCAAGGTTGCTATAATCCTGGACCAGGCCGGATGATAAGTGGCTTCAGTGGTGGTCTTTACAAAGGAGTGGAGTTCTTTATTCCTGTGATGCTCCAGGGACAGACGAGTCTTCGCTAAACCAAGCGTCTCCAGCATTTTCCAGCCTTCTGCACCTAGACTGCAGCTCTGCACAAGACATTTGGCCAGAGGGGAAATGTTCGTGCCCAATTGAGCCTGGTCTCTCTCTCTCTCAAGGTTTTTTAATTCTTCGCTTTTGCTAATTGGTGAAGTTTTTTCCTTGCCACTGTCGCCACTGGCTTGCATAGTTCGGGACCCGTAAATCTGAAGATACAGAAGAATAACTAAATAACTGAAGCACTAATTATAAATGTTAAATATTTGTTTAAAGCTACATGTATAGGAGGGATTCAGGAGTAACATATTGTCAAGTTATTATAATGTATGTACACACTTAGTTCTCTTTATTAGAGTGGTTACTCGTCTTTGATAACATTCAATCAATTAATCATCCGTTCAATCAAAGTTGATTTACGGTCATTCTATGGATCATTTCCCTCAACACAACTCTATTAATCACCGCTTTTTTAAGTTTTCGCATGCTCACGTTGGTATCAGATTTGACAGCATCAGGCCAACAAGTTCTTGGGCAGCCTTTGTTCCTACTTCTGCTGACCATTCCCAGCATGACTGCCTTCTCAAGTGAATTGCTAAGCATGACATGGCCAAAATTGGATCATTTCTGTTTGGTAATCTTGGCTTTCAGCGAGGTCTTTTTCATGATGCACTCTAGAACTTCTTTGCTGGAGATTCTTGCTGTCCACGGGATGCACAACAGTCTCCTCCAGCACCACAAATTGAAGGTGGCGATCGATTTTCTGTCTGTCTTCTTGATCATCCAGGTCTCGCAGCCATAGAGTAAGTTTCTATGGGAGACCACATGGTAAAGTCAGGTTGCTGCCAGAAGTGGTGTTAGTGAGGCCAGCAGTAGGCGCTCAACCAGCAGTCTGTGTGGGTCCTAACGCCCCAGTTTAGTAAAAGGGACTCCATACTGCTCAGTGAGAGCCATCTTTCCGATGAGAGGTTAAACCTGACTGGTCGTTAAAAGTGTACTTTATAACATCACTTACCTCTCCATGGATTCATCGGTTTTACTGTTCATTAAAAATAAAATGATTTAATTATACAAGTTACGGTCTTAGTATTATATAACAAATCTATACTTTTGATTTAAGAAAATGTAAACATAAATCACCCTAAATGTGAAGTGAAATGGGTTATACACAGACTTGTGTCTTTTATTATCAGATTTAATAAACTACAATAGACTTTATACAAGTATAAAGTACAAGACGCATGCAATAAGAAATAAAGATAACGTAAAGCAATTTGGTAAACAAAGACAACCTTGTACAAAACGGTAACATATTTAAAGATAATTATAAAAGGTGACAGACAAAATAATACACCTGATAACAAATAATAGATTTATAAGACCAAAAACTGTCTGTTATATACGCACAAAATGTATTAAATATCATGTATTAACTACAATGACAGATGCAATCCAGCGGTACATCCTTGATGGACTTGGCTGTAAAGGTGCTCTCAGCGGGAGAGGTGATAACGAAGCTCCCGCTGACAAGCTGGGGGTCAGAGTTCGCATAAGCTGAGGTGCATCGCCAAAGACGTGCTATCTATGTAAACAAACGGCTGATTAGAGTTTAAAACAACTACATTCTCTCCTGAAAAACTCTTAAAACTTGTAACACAACAGAGGAGATTTTTAAAATCGTGCGGTTTTCTCCTCCGTCATTAGCTTTTGCTGATTATGCTGCAATGCATTCTTGGATTGGACCTCTAAAAGCATCCTTGACAAAAGGGGCGGAGCAAGTACACATCCGGGAATTTTATCTGTACTTGGCAAGATGTAAACTTTGAATTGGAACAATACTTCGGCGACAGTTAATGACGTTTCACAAGGACACAAGAACGCAAGTACAGACAAGAACGCATACAAAGAAACAGCCTTGGAAACTATTTTGAAGTCAATTTTGACTTTATAAAATCAAATTGGTTTTGGAACGACACAAAATAACTACATTTTTAAAGAACTGCCACCTTCTCAATTACACATTTATTTTCCTGTCAAGGTGAATGATGGAATGGCTCTGACACCATAACAATTGTGTTTACTTGCATTGCATGGTGGGTAACAGGAAAGCGGGAATGCCAATCACCAGCAAACATGACGAAAGTGGTGTGTTACAAATGTGGAGTTATTTTAAGTTCATACTGCATCCATTAATCCCTGGCCGCAGGCTCCCTCTGGGCTGGCAGACTGGGAAAACGGGATAGAAGTGAATTTCGCAGCACACTTTCTCCTCTCTCTCTCTTTCTCTCTCCGCCTTAATCGCCGTGCAGGCGTCAAATGACCCGAGAGCCTCCGTTTCACCACATTCTGCCTGAGCGCCGAACTTTCTTCAAGTGCTGTCGAACCACTTAGGCAAATTGCCCCATTATGGACATCAGGAGAGTTGAAAGTCATCTCGATTCGTCGTGCGGAGCGCTTGAATAATAAAGCCCCCTGAAGGTCGGATTTCCGTAAAAAGAAGTTTAACGCTCATCCATATTCATCTATATTCCACAGCCTGGGTAATCTGGTCGTCGTTTGATGAGGTCTTTGGGTTTCCCTAATGCCGTGTCTTATTGCTTTAGGACACAGGATCAGAGCAAGCACACGTGTCAGGATGCTAATAGTGTGTTTATTTATGTTGTGTTAGAGTGAAGCAGACTGAAGAGTGTGTGAGATGTTTTATCCTCTTTTTCATGCTGGGAAGCTTCATCTAGCTCTGTGGATTGTTTAATATGCAGTGAACTCTGAGTAGCTCTGCGTAATGCCTACTCGCTGCTCATCATATCTGCAGATTCGGCAAAATTATCCAAAATAATTAAGGGGTTACTGAAAAACGCAAAGTCCTGTCATCGCTGTGATTAAGCGAAATGTAATTTCAATTAAATGAATTAGGTCTGTGTGGACGCATCCTCATGATTCAAAACGCTTATATGGCACAATAGGAAATGTTTGTGCTGTTGAATGTTTTATTATGTAATATTTTGCTATGAATTATTACTAATGTATTTGTAAAATAATATAAAAAAATTATAACAAATATTTATTTTTTCCAAAATAATTTTGCAGTCCACTGTTTTTTTTAAACTGATTATGTATTATAAATAATTATTAATTAATTGATAACATATTAACTGATAATTATTAAAATATTTTTACATTAGTCCTATAACATTGTAAAATATTTTTGCTAAGTTTAAACATAAGCTTAAAACTATTTTAATTTGATTAAATTTACAAATGAGCAATATCACTTGAGTAGCAGTGCAATGTGGCTGTATATCGGATGACGATATACAGTACAGCCACATCACAATGCTACGAGTGTGATATTACGTTTATACAGCAGTTCGACGCCATAATCTTGTATATAAAAAGAAAATCAAACATGGAGAGTATAAAAATCTTTTTGTATTAGGAACTACTTTCTTCCGCCATTCATTTACATCGGCAGTTGACAGTCAGAACAGCAGAAGCTTTTACTAATTCACCAACGTCACTTTAGAGCTAGTGTTTGAAAGATTCTCTAGTGTAATGTCTAAAGTAAGGACGAAATAGGTGATTTTGCTGACATTGTAAAATTATAAGGCTGAACGGCATGAAATGTCATCAATCTACAGTGACATCTCCCTACAGTATTAGTCTATTACAGTCTACAGTATTTCTCTGTTGCAATTGGGATATCACAATAATTAACCCCGACAAAAAGCAGCACAATCACTGCCAGATTACTGTTGTGTTTAAGATAAGGAAAAACGCTAAACACATGCGGGCTTTTCTTCTTTCTTTTTGCCAACACAACAAATTCCTGATATGCGAGTCCCATCTCAGACTCAATACACTACAGTTATATGGTATAAATACAGCACCACAACATACAAAAGAGAGAGACTGACTCATGACTAGGATGACTGAAAATTAGAAGTCCATGTGCATATACCCCATTACAATGTTCAAAGAAAGTCTGAAAAACACAATAAATTAACACATAGCAGTAATGTAGTGCCCACTTATCACATTTACCTTCCTTTTCTCCTTCTTCTCATCTTTCTTGGTGAAAACAGTATGAACCCACCAGATCTTGGTGAACATGCTGCCATAGGCCAAACTGAAGCCCAGTCCCAGCAGCCACAGCCGAAACTACAACACAACCACAGAAAGACTTTATTCAGTGCTACATGCAGCTACAAAACAGACATTCATTTTTACATCTTCATAAGATAAGTATAAGACATATGTTCTTTTTGTAAATGTCGGCATAAAATCTATTTCCCCCTACTACTTTTTTCCCTCCAACTATACTACTTTTTAAGAAACATTTAAAAATTTTTGGAACCATAAACACGTCAGGCTAAACAATGAAAATAAATCATAGACTCCTGCTGTCTTCATTAGTTTCAAGAACACAGATTTCTTTACAATTTGATATATCATCTTTGGATATCTTTCTTTTCAGGGGATATAAAGTAAGCCACTGCCTTGTTCAGGTATATTGCATGCTTGGATGTTGGTTTATAAACAATTTGTTTTTCAAATGTTTCCTGAATCGTGGGCTGACAAGTAGCTTTAGATGTGGTGGGTTGTTTTCTGCTGAAAAAACTGTTGCCCTAAAAAACTGAATAAAATATTCATAAAAACAAGCTAAAAAAAGTACATATACTGTAGGAATGGTATAATAGAAAAATCTTGAGGTTTTAAAACCTTGACTTTTCCACAGTAAACCTTGAAACCGGTTATCATCCCATGCCTACAAATGAGAGGCAGTGGCGATTAAAAAAGGGGCTATAATGTTTCCAACAGTACCTGGCAAACCACAGGGAATTGTGATCTACGGACATGGAGGCCATCGATGCCCAGAGGAAAGACAGCGGCCAGAGCCAGAACACAACCCACCGCGGTCATGTTGTTCAGATACGGCTGAGAGTTCTGGATGTACCTGTCAGATGAAGAAATCAACACCTAAATGACAAGCTTCTGATATGAGATCAAATAAAGTGTTGGAACTGACAAGGAGCCTTAAAATAAAGAAAAATCTAATTTTCTTCTCCATTATAAATAACAACTCACTAACTGATCATACATTACCTGATAATGATTAAAATACATTTTATTATTCAAAAGTTTAAACATATGTTTTAAACAATTTTGTTAGAATTAAAGTAACAACTTACAATAAACCCCTATTCCTTTACATTAGATACTGCAGTAAAATTGATTTATTCTATATTATATATGTATTTCTATATTCTTTAAATCCACTTTGCTATTTTATAGCTAATTTGCCCTGCATTATTTTTAATATTTAAATAGTAATTTTATTTATATTATTAGCATCAAATATAAATTCATTCTCTATTATAAATAATAATGCATTAATTAATGATGCATTGTCTGATAATTATTTTTTTAAATTTATGAGTTTTAAACATAAGCTTCTGTTATTTGAAGTGCCAAAACTTTACTCTGCAGTTTAGAGTGGATTTTATTACAAATGTTATCTAAGATAATTTCATTTTATCTCTCAAACATGTGTGAGGCTCATTTTTAGAGTTTAAAAAAAAATATATATATTGTAATTGTGTAAAATTTTGTAATCGTTGTCTTATTTCTAATAACTACTTTTGTGTGAAACTTTATTTTTCTATAAGGATTTAAACATCCACAGCTTGTTTATAATGAACAAGTTCACTTAAATAGCAGTTTCGTGTCTTGTTGTTCCTCATCTATTACGCCCCATTCACACTGGGCTTTAGGGTCAACGTTTGTCAGAGAGCATGTCTGAATTTGGGGCTGAGGCAATCGTCATAGCAGCATCAGCCAATTAATTAGTCAGCAATCGGCTACTTTCTAAGCTGATGTATTTGCATTAAGCGATCTGATTGGCTGACGCTTCCATCGGCACTTGAAAAGTTGAGAGAGTCCCAACTTCTGCAGCAATGAACGCCACTGAAGCAGTGCTGATGGATCCATAATGCAGCTTGGCAACGCCTCACGTCATCCCATTCAAAGAGCATGGGAAGCGTTGAAGCTGACGCCCCGTGTAAATGGGGTGTTATGAATGGCAGCAATAACTACAACTGGCTGAATGTTTTCCTTTTCGTTCCCCCTTGACCAATTAAAAAAAAAATCAAAGGGATGTAATTGTAAATAAACTATATTAAAATACTGAATATTAATATTTTTGTGCACCTGTTTTTCAATATTTATAATTATATTATTACTATATTATATTATATAATAATAATATAATTATTATATATAATAATATAATTATTACATATTATTTTCCATATTTATTGTGTTAACGTTAATTATTGACTGAACCAACATTAACATTATATTTTTACAGCATTAGTTAACTGTTTATGTTACTTAACAAACACAATTATTTTTTGTTATATATGTGTGTGTGCATATGCATTTATGTCTTCCACAATTACTGTCCATGCTTTTAATGCACGGTATCTGATCAACAAACATGTAGAAATTATCATTAATATTTACAAACGCTCCAGACACTTTCCTGTTTAACAAACTGAAGTAGTGAGTGGTTTTATGGTGTTTGTGTATGATTATACGTATCCATATTATCAATGTTCTATTTATTACAGTGGTATTATTTTCCACATGACCTAGGAAAACCTAACAAAAAAAGTTATTTAAATATTGTTGAACATAAGCTAAATGTAAAAATAAATTGAAAAGGTAAACACAAATACAGCTGAGGTGAAAATGATTAGTGATTTTTCCTTTTCCAAATATTTCCCAAATGATGCTAAACAGAGCAAGGACATTTTCACAGTAATTCCTATAATATTTTTTCTTCAGGGGAAAGTCTTATTTGTTTTATTTTGGCTAGAATAAAAGCAGTTTTTCATTTTTTTAAGAATCATTTTAAGGTCAAAATTATCAGCCCCCTTGAGCTATATATTTTTTCCGATAGCCTGCAAAACAAACCATCGTTATACAATGATTTGCCCAATTACTCTAACTTGCCTAGTTAACCGAGTTAAGCCTTTAAATGTCACTTTTAACTGTATAGAAGTGTTTTGAAAAATCTCTAGTAAAATATTATGTACTGTCATAATGGCAAAGATAAAATAAATCAGTTATTAGAAATGAGTTATTAAAACTATTATGTTTAGAAATGTGTCGAAAAATATTCTGTCCGTTAAGCAGAAATTGGAGGAAAATATACAGGAGGGCTAATAATTCTGACTTTAACTGCACATGTATTTGTTTTGATGTGATTACACTGACCTGACGCTGCTGTTGTAAATATTGAATGAGAGGCAGACGATGCCCAGCAGGATCCCGAGTCCAGCAAACACAGACACGGAGACAAAGAGCTTCTGAGAGAGATACCTGAACTCCTTTATCACTTTGGTCTGGTCTGCCGGTGGACTGAGGCCTGTCAACATCACAAAACAGAGACGAAATATCAGAGAAACTGCAGATAAGAGCGTCAGATCACAGAGCGGTGACACCAGATGGAGAGAGAAAAACTGTGATTGACTTCATTGACAGTTTGAAGAGCGAAAAAAGCCAAGTAGAGAGTCATTAGCTTCATCTGCGCTGTCAGACTTCAGAACACATGACGAGCGGAGAATATTAATGGAGGTTTCTGACAGACGGTTTGCTGTGAAATAAGGCCACTGGGCCGGTTTGACACGTCAATCGTGTGGAAAATTTTCTGGGGGGAAAAAAGGAAGCTCGCGACATTCACACTTAAGCAGGACCAGACGCAATCTGACTTCTTTCACACTTTTCACACTCTCTGCTCAATTTAGCGAGAAATCTGGAGAATTCTGTGAAACAGATTTAAAGAGGTGTTAAATGGAGCTGGAGGAACTGCTTCCCAAAATACAAAAAAAACATTAAATAAATAAAAACTGAAATAAATAAATAAATAAAAAGATAAATAAATAAATAAATAAATAAATATAAATAAATAAATAAATAAATAAATAAATAAAAATGAAAAAAATAAAATAAAATAAATACATAAAACATTAAATAAATACATCAATTAAATTAAATAAACAAACAAATATAGAAATAAATAATAATAAAAAATAAACAATATATAAATATAAATAAACAAACAAATAAAAAACTATAAAAACACAATGAACAAACAAACAACAAATAAACAAATAAACAAAAAGGAAGATCGCAACATTCACACTTAAGCAGGACCAAACGCAATCTGACTTCTTTGACACTTTTCACACTCTTCGCTCAATTTAGCGAGAAATCTGGAGAATTCTGTGAAACAGATTTAAAGAGGTGTTAAATGGAGCTGGGAGTACTTCTTCCCAAAAAACAAATAAACATTAGAAAAAAATGTAACAAATGAATGCAAGATTCCAGGAATGGGTCAAATAATCAATAATTGCAATAACTTAAATTAGATTAATACTTTATCAAAATTACTAAATTATTATTTAAATGAAACAGTGTAACAATGTACTAATTAAACGAGTTGAAAGAATTATGGTACTGTGCTATAATAGATCATATACTGTAATTAGACGAATAAGCTGATAGTCAATAATAATTTGTTCGAAAAATCAATACAAATAATAATACAAAAATGATTATTAAATGAATTTTACATAATAATAATAATAATAATAAAAATAATAATAACAATAACTATAATGATAATAATGATAATAATAAATAAAATAAATAAATAAAATCAATAACACATAAAAATAAGCAGACAAATAAATAAATTAATTAATTAATAAACAAATACATAAAAATAGAAATAAAAAACGAAATTAAAACACATAAAATAAACAAAAACAAAAATAAACAAACAAACAACTAAAGTGATAATCAAATAAACAAATAAATATAAAAATTAAATAAATTATCAAATTAGTAAAAAAAATAATTAATAAATAAATATAAAATAAATAAATATAAAAAATAAAACAAGCAAATAAATATATAAATATATAAATAAACAAATAAACAAATAAATGAAAACTAAATAAATAAATAAATAAATCCATAAATAAATAAATATAGAAATAAGTATATGAACAAATAAACTAATTAATAAAAACAAAATAAATAAACTGACCAATATTATTAGTCCCTTTAGCTACAGAACAAACCACTCTTGGCCATTGATTTCACACAGTCGGCTAAACAGCTTTCATTTCTTTAACAAAAACATCAGTGACAACACCAGCCTAAATTATCACAACTACCTTAACATTTCACAGATCATTCACACATCAAATGAGCTAACAGTGTCAATTACAGCCCTATAGCGAATGCATTGTATACGTGTTGTATCACCACGAATGTTATCAATCTTACAGGAACTGTGACTACTTTATAATTATAAAACCAACATCTTGCTATTCAATCTGTCACTATAATTATAACCAAAAAAGCAGGATTCTGGTGGGAGCAATAATCACCGTGATGATTACTGTCTTGTGTGCATCACTTTCTGAAACAGGCGAACAAATGACAGGCCCTGACACGAGTTAAAATGAGAGTTTTTTTGTCTGTCAGAGGAAAGCGTGTCATTATCGGCGATGCCAAGCTGACCGTGAGGGACATGTGTTGGTGACAGCTGGTGCTCGGGTTTGTCAAACTGACACTATGTTTGTTGATATTTTTTTCAGGATGACGGGTCAGGAGTGACATTTGAGACTGCAATGCAGTGAGAGATAAATGTGTGTGTGTGTGTGTGTGTGTGTTGTAAAAAAAAATGGATAAAGATTCAAAGTAAACCATTTGTTCAAAGTTGTTGGAAAATAATCACATAAAAAATTATACTTTGAACCAACTTTAAAAAACTACTGTAATTTTTTCCTGCTAAAATGAGTAGTTTTTCCTCAAAGTATAATTTAATGTTGGTTCAAACTCTAAAATTTCATTACTGTGTAGTGTTTCTGCTAAAATGAGTAGTTTTTCCTTAAAGTAGAGGTCTGCGCTGGACTGTTTTTATAATCCCGCTCCCAGGAGGTTTTATTCCGTATCCGACCGCTCACGCTGAATATTCAGCCTTTGTTTACCTGCCCCCCGCTTAGAATAATTTTTTACTCGACCCAATCATTCCCACAAAATTTATGCCCCGTTTACGCTAATATATTTTTGTTGTAAAATGCATTAGTTTTTCATGTCATCCGTCCACACTACGCCAGAGTTTTCGAGTGCTGAAAACGGTGCTTTTATTCTAAAACGCTTCTGCTTTGGGTCAGTGTGAATAGGGGAAAACGGAGAAATCTGAAAACGGAGACAGGGCTGCAGATATTATCTGATTGGGGCTTTTTTCTCAATATTAAGTAGCCTAAACAAAGTTCAGTCTTGCATCCTTTGCTTGTACCCTAAGTTTAGACTTTGCAGGTTTGATATGGAAAACAAACTCCAGAAGACACGTCAGATAAATCTTTAAAGGGAACAGTGTACTTTATAACCTCATTTACTTCACCCTGCTACGTTATTTCACTCTCTTAAAAATAAAATGAAAGCATGATATGCTGCGACTGCAGCTGGTCCAGAACGCAGCTGCTAGGCTTTCAACAGGCAAAAAAAAACGAGAGCACATTACACCTGTACTGGTTTCCGTACACTGGCTGTATGTACTGCTGTATGTTTTTAAATCCGTCCATGGCCTGGCCCCTAAGTATATTTCTGAGTTAATTAATATACACCAACCCATGAGATCTCTTCGCTCTAAGGATCGACTCTATGTGTAAGTTCCTTGATCATGCTTGAAATGTCAAGGTGATAGAGCTTTTTCAGTAGCAGCTCCAAGACTACAACCTTCCACTCTCCATAAGAACAGCGGCAACTTTTGAGTCTTTTCAGAGGTCACTGAGAACACACTTATTTTCTTAAACTTTTAATCATGCGTTGTGAGTTTATGTATTTTGGTTCTGGTATGTTTGCATGTGTTTTATGTGTTTTTTTTTTCATTGTGGTTTGTTGAAAGTGCTCTAGAAATAAATTGAATTGAGGAACTGTCTATTTTCATGTTGATATTAGCAACTTGACATCAAATATGTTGAGGCATCATGTAGCTACGTGTTTATATGAGCGTCATTCACTGTATGACCTCCGACATGCATAGCTCTCATGGCTGCAGTGCATGCCAGAGTGTGTGTGCGTGATGTGCGTTTTCAGTGGTATAGTGTGGACGGAGAGCTGTTCAGACGCTGGGTGAAACACCAGTGTGGATGTGGATCGTTTTCATTCTAAAACACTGTTTTAAAACTAAAAAGTAATAGTGTAAACGGGCCTTAGATCTGGTTTCCAAAATCTCACGTTTAAATTGGTACTACCAAAAGAAAGATATAACAGATAAAACTGTAGGCTAAATGTCAGTTTTGTTTGCCCCTTTGTGATGAGACATGAGTGCCACCTTAAACCTCAGGTTCCAGTCTTGTGCCTTTGAGATACTATAAACTTTATAAACTATAAACTATAAACTTTGAGATATTATAAAATCGCGCAAAGGATTTTTTTTCCATTTGCATCTATGATGCATAAAAAAGACTCCCATACATCAGACTTGCCTGATGTGGGTTTCCTAAGAGTAAACTGACCGTTTTCTAATGCAAGCTAAAAGTCCTTCAAGGACAGCGCATCTTCCGTTTTCTCTGCCATGGTAAAGCCCACTCTCAGGACCGTTATGCAGATGATGCGCGCACAGACTGTGTGAAAAAAAAGTGCAGAGAAAATGTGCAGAGAAAGCACTGGTCATGCATTCATCATGCGTAATAGTTGTGAACACTGGCTGTACCGGTGCTCAATGAGAATGAGGAAATCACAGATATGCTTTTCCGAAATAATGTTGGGACTCGGGAGCACTATATTGTTAGACCGCCTGCTCCTGTTCAAATTAGCTAAGTTACTGACGGCTATCACGTTTTATTTAGAAACTTAATTCCGCGCTGCAAGAAATCTGGTCGGGTTGCAGACCTCTACCCTTAGAGTATAATTAAACTTTGGTTCAAATTTCAAAATGTCATTCGTTCATGGATTTTCCTTCAGCTTAGTCCATTATTTATCAAGAGTTGACACAGTGGAATGAACCGCCAACTATTCCAGCATAAGTGTTACGCAGCAGATGCCACAACCCAGTACTGCAAAACACCCACACACTCTAACATTCACAAACACACTCAAACTCTAAATTGGTTGCTGCTGGAAGGGCATCCGTTGTGTAAAACATATGCTGGATAAGTTTCATTCCGCTGTGGCGACCCCTGATAAATAAAGGGACTAAGCAGAAGGAAAAAGAATTAATGAAATCCAGTGTTTAATTGTTTGAGAATTGACTAAACTAATGGTTAAAGTTTCTAATTGTTAAAGCTAAATGTTTGCTCAATCTGATATGCACTCATACCAATCAACCCTCCCGTTATTCACAGGATT